AGAATTTAAGTCTAACACATTTAGGTTGGGTTGAATGTCTGAGCTGCTTATTGCTAGTGCCAGCTCACACCAAGAGGGACTAAAACATCCGGCAGTTTCCCAAATTAGAAGAGGAGACAGTTATTCAAGAGGGACTCGTGGTGGAGTTTTAAAACTAGGACAGCTGTACAGAGAAAGAGAGAACAGATGTTTCTCCCTTTCTCCTGATAGAATTTCAGATCGTTCAGTGAACTGATGAGTAACTTCAAGAAAGGCAAACTGACAGAGTGAGAAAAAAAGAGAGAGGGAAGGAACATTTTTTGCATCATGTAAAATTCATTTGTGGAGTTCTTTGCACTAATTTAGCATTTAGCTTTTAGAAGGAAGGGAAGGGAAAATTGCTCAGCTGAGTTGAGATGAGATCTCACATATCTGGGTGGTTGCAAAATCGCACAGAAGAGTTGCAAAAAAGTGTTGCATGGAATTCAACACTTGGGGCAATGTACATTTCAAATAGCCACATTCTGTCTACAATATAAAACATTTAAGCCCCCAAAGTGTTTTTTTTAGTTGCTTAGATATCAAATTTCTACACCGTCAATTTTGCTTAAGTAAACTTTACAAACCACATCATAATATAAAACGTGACTAAAAAGCAAAGTTGAAACACTCTAAAAACAAGGTTAAAATTTACAAAGTAAAAAGTAAAAAAACAAAACAAAACCCAAACTTAAAAAGGTTTTGCCCACAATCAAACAGCATAAGTTCATGCCGCATAAAGATTTTGTACAGGTATCGTCGTACAGATTTCTATACATTTTGAATACTTAGTGGATTTTGCATCCCTCTAACCAAAATGTGGAATGGCTGTTTAAGGTTGGTCAGTACTGCTACTATGTAGAGATTGCAAGACAGATTTGAGATTACATAGGCAGACCTTACCTATGACTAACTGTAGAGAAAAAAAAGTCCCTTGTTTTTTAAATGTCTCCGAGCCACCATACTGGACCAAATTTGAACCTGTCTTCTTTACAGCCTTGATCTCTTCCCACTCTTAGAAGTCTACCCCACTGACACCACGTGAAGTTCTGCACCCTTTTGTAGATGAGTTGTAACCCAATACCTAAATAGATGAACTGGAAGCATTCTACAGGCTACTTTTTAGCTCTAGTGAGATACCCAAATTTGGTTCACACTGCACGGATCTTATCACAGTATCTTTATACTGGTATGTACTAATTAGAAGTTCAATTTCTGACTAGATTGTAAGTATCTAGAGGACTACATGCTTCCAGCTGAACATGAGATGGTGTCAGGTGGATGCTTAGAATCCTAGCTCAACCCCGAGTTTGCAAACAGATGCTCAATGTGTGTTTATCTGTGGAAAAAAAACCCTCTTTGGATAACTGTATTTATTCTGGTGTTATAGAATACTACCAGATCTGCACAAGTCCAGTCCTTCACAAGGTGGCAACAAAGAGATAAAACTCTAACTCTTTGCCACCATCCAGTGGTCATGGAGATTTTGGCAGCAGAGTTTTGGTAGCCCTGGCCAGTATGCTGGTGTCTATTACATTGGGCTACCATTTCTCCTAAAACTGATTTCCAGGTTCACAGGTTTCAGCTCAGATAACTGGCTAATAATTCACTCACTGCCATTTATAATAATTCACTCACTGCCTTCCACCCTAAAGTATGAGAAACTTGCTTACCTTGAAGGATATTTCTCAAAGGAAGATAAAAGGAGGAACTTGGCCTTTAGTGATTTATACCTCTTTGGCTATGCCCTCCCTTGATCACGTGACTACTTTCTTCATCAACCCAAACTCAACCTTTCTCAATTGTCCCTTTCATTAAAATTTCGGCAGGTCACAATTCCTAGAGCATCAAAGGTGAACATTATAGATCATTTATATGCTTAAGGTTATATTCAGTCGGGGGTTTTCTTCCCCCCCCCCACCAGACTCTTGAAAGCTACCCTAATACAGGCCTTGTTGTAATGAAACAATTGTTCCTTTGTTATCCCTTTCCTGCAAAGTCAGATGACGGCGGAGAGCGAGAACTTAATAAACAGCTTCATTCATGGTTGAGGGACAGGTGAAAATTTAGACGATAGGACAGACCCCCAAATCTCTGAGTGCTGAAAAGCTCAGGAGGGCTTGAAAAAAAAAACATTGAAAGGGTCTTCCATAGAATTATGGAATCGCAGACCTGAGGAGTTTTAGAAGGCACCACAAAGATCATTTAGACTAACTCTTTGAGGAAAAAAACAATGATACTATTCTTGAGAGGTCACTATCCAATTTCTTCCCTCTACAAATGAAGGACCCACAACCTCCATTGGTCGATTGTTCCACTGTGGTATCAGGTCTTACTATCGGGAAGATTTTTCCAGAAAGGCAGGCAAGAGAATGATGGGAACCCACAAGTTTTAGCCAGGTAGTCCTCAAGTTATCACCCTAATGGAATCTGCCCATTAAGGTTGTAATGGTTGTTAAATAGGTCAGTCACACGATCGACCTGGTATTAGGTTGTTGTTGTTTTCAGCAGTCATTAAGCAAATACCATGACTCTTAAGCGAATTCATTGTTCGCTACGACATGTTTTGCTGAAAACCAGAAGGAAGTGCCTGTTTTTGGCAAAACCTTCATAAAACACAGTCACATGGCCACAGGATGCTGCAAACAGCCAACATTGTGGCCATGTTGCTGAGTGCCGAAACGACGGTCATCAACTTTGGATCGGAGTCATTTGTCCCCTTTTTATCGCTAAGCAACAGGCTGTAAGTTGAGACCTAGCCGTGGATGCATAGGTTTCTAGTGCCTTTGGGAAGCCAAACAGAAGCTTGTGTAGAGACTTGAGGACCTCTTAATTTTTGCAGAACATACAATATTTTAAAGGAGGGAAAGTTTATAATGGGAGGAAGGATATTCAAAAGGCAGCCCACAAGCTCTGGGCCTCTGAGGGCCCCTCAAATGTTGAACAAAGGAGGACATTTTCATAGCAAAATGAGCTATGACTGGCTGGGGAACTCTGGGAGTTGAAGTCCATCCATCTTAATATTGTCAAGTTTGTTTCTGAGGGAGATGTTTCTACAAAATGTTCCATCCAAAAAAATGGCCTGTGTTTCCCCCCAATTTATTTCTAGTATGTGTGATAGAAAATAAATTGCTTCCCAAAAACCTTTCCAAGGAGAAGACAATGCAAATGAAATAGAAGTTGTTCTCAACTTATGACCACAATTGACCCCAAAATTTCTGTTGCTAAGCGAGACATTTCTTAAGTGAATGTTGCCTCATTTTATAGCCTTTCTTGCCATAGTTTTTCAGTGAATCACTGCAGTTGTTAAGTTAGTGACATGATTGTTAAGTGAATCTGGCTTCCCCATTGACTTTGCTTGTCAGAAGGTCACAAAAGGGGATCACATGACCCCGGGACACTGCAACCGCCATAAACATGAGTCAGTTGCCAAGCATCTGAATTTTGATCACGTGACCATGGGGATGCAGTAACTGTCAAACATGTGAAAAACGATTGTAACTTACTTTTTTTTAGTGCCGTTGTAACTTTGAACGGTCACGAAATGAACTGTTATAAGTCGAGGACTACCTGTAAAACCCTATAAAGTGCAAGATTTCCCTCTCACTTTGGTTATGAAAAGGCCAAAAGGTGCATCTAAGCACCCCATCTTTCAGTGTGGAAATCCTTCTGGCAAGCTCTTACAGTAAGGTTCTACATTTAGGCAAGAAAAATCAAATGTACAAGTATAGTATAGGGGGTACCTTGCTCAATAGTAGTAACTGTGAGAGGGACCTCGGAGTCCTAGTGGACAATCACTTAAATATGAGCCAGCCGTGTGCTGCAGCTGCCAAAAAGCCAACACAGTGCTGGGCTGCATTAACAGAGGGATAGAATCAAGATCACGTGAAGTATTAATACCACTTTACAATGCCTTAGTAAGGCCACACTTTGAATACTGCATCCAGTTTTGGTCACCACGATGTAAAAAAGATGTTGAGACTCTAGATAGAGTACAGAGAAGAGCAACAAAGATGATTAGGGGACTGGAAGCTAAAGCATATAAGGAACGGTTGCTGGAATTGGGTATGTCTAGTTTAATGAAGAGAAGGACGAGGGGGGACATGATAGCAGTGTTCCAATATCTCAGGGGCTGCCACAAAGAAGAGGGAGTCAAGCTATTCTCCAAAGCGCCTGAAGGCAGGACAAGAAGCAACGGATGGAAACTAATCAAGGAGAGAAGCAACCTAGAACTAAGGAGAAACTTCCTGACAGTTAGAACAATTAACCAGTGGAACAACCTGCCTCCAGAAGCAGTGAATGCTCCAACACTGGAAGTTTTTAAGAAGAGACTGGACAGCCATTTGTCCGAAATGGTATAGGGTTTCCTGCCTGAGCAGGAGGTTGGACTCGATGACCTCCAAGGTCCCTTCCAACTTTATCATTATTATTATTATTATTATTCCAAGCTTATAAACCCAATCTGTGCTGTAGATCTATAAAGATGGAGGGTCAAACTGGTTTACTCATCAGTAAGAAAGAACCTTAAATTGAGCTATGACATCCCAAAGTAATACAAAGTAATCTTGTTACATATTTCTTTTTTAAGTGAAGACAGAACCACCACGTAATTCTTACATTTTAATTCAAATTTGGTTCACTGTTGTTTCAAACATTTAAGAATCCACTGATTTACATTCACTAACAAACTAGGGCACATTCTTTAGGAAACATAACAATAATTATTACAACTTTTCGTTTCAGGGAAGGTTCTTGTTGTGAATGTCACCTTCTATTCATTATTAACTTTTTGTTTAATCAGTGTGCAATCAAGAAGATCCTGCCATCCAAGGAAAATCCTCTTCTTTCTCTTCTGTTAGTAATGTGTGTGTGTGTGTGTGTGTGTGTGTGTGTGCGCGCGCGCGTTTTCTTGCACTGGACAATGGAATAAACCTATGGATTTCTTCCATGTTTCCTTGTGCTCAACAATTCCTCTTGGAGAATCAGATGGATTTACAAATATATTTAAGGCACTTCTGTTTCAATGCTAGAAAAAAAAGAAGAAGGGTCAATTCAATGCAGAGAAAGAAATTCATATTTAGACAGAAGGGAATATTGGTTGCTAGGGTTGAACCAGGTTCCTTGGTGCTGACTGAGCTTGGTTGTTTTCTTGTAGATGTTTCATTACCCAGCTAGGTAACATCATCAGTGTTAGAAGGGAGTGGCGTTCATTTTGTTTATATATAGTTTGCCCTATCAATGTTGGTGGGAATGTTCTTGGATAGTGATTAGGATGCTGTTTACTATTGGATTGTTTGTTTGTTGAAAACTCCTTAATTTCACCAGACATGGACAGACTTAATCATAATTTCAAAGGGGAAACTCTGAGCATCCTAGACCAAATTAGGTGCAAAAATATAGAGAATTTCTTGAAGCCTGACACTTAGACGAATCAGCAATCAACAGGCAAATAGAGATAAACAACAGCTACATACCATTCAAAAGAGACAATTTTAAAAATCTAAAAGGAAACAAAAGACCAAAACACCAGCAATCAACACCCAGATAGGTAGAGATTGTCATCAGGATTAATTCCAGAAAAATAATTAAGCAGTAAACAATACCCAATGAAAGAGCTACCAACTCAGACAAACAATCCAACAATAAATAACAACCTAATTAAGGAACTATAAGAGCACTGTCACCAACGCTGACAGAACAAGTCACTGATATGTAAATAGAGAACAAATCCCACACTCTTCTAACACTGGTGATATTACCTATTTGGGTAATGAAAGGTCTGCAAGAGAACAAGCTGAAAGAACACCGAGGGTCCCACAGACTTAGTGAACTTTCATACTTTTGAACATGTCAAAAGTGCAGTAAAGGGGTCAAGTCACTTTCCAGAGAGTCAGGAAGAAGCTCCGCCCACCCAGCGAGGGAGAGGCCGCTGCGCAGTTCCCGGAGAGGCTTCGACCGTTCTTGGCGGAGGCAGAAGCGGCAGCGGAGGCGGCCTCGCTGCGAAGGAGCCTTTCCCCTCACAAGCGGCCCCCACAGCCGGCCCTCCCGCCGCCGCCATGGTGAAGATCGCGTTCCAGTCGCCCTTCGCCCACAAGGAATGTACCCCAGGATGGAACTGCTGGCTCTGCGTGATTCCCCCCTCGCGCAGGCATGGCCCAGCACAATCCCAAGGGCCTGCCTCGATGAAGGGGTGTGGAACCCCGAGAGGTGGTATGCAGCAAGAAGGGAATTAAAGAAGGGAAAATTAAGAGACTTTTTAGAGGGGTGTTTTGTCAAATTTTTAGGGGTTTCGGGGATGGCCAGGGGGGGCATGGGGGATGCCTCTCTGAGCCTAAGGCCAGACCTGTCTGAGGGACGCAGTATTAGAATGATGAGGGAAGAGGCTGGGGGGTTAAGGGAGGGTGGTGTGATTAGTACGGTCAGTGGGAGGGGCAGATATGGCGGGAGCAGAGGACCATATCGGGTTTTGGGAGCACGCACATGCTGTTTACAAGCTTGTGGGTGCTCCGGTCCTCAGGGCTCTACTCGGCTTCCAGGGATCTTAGATCCTCGGGCCCGGGATCACCGGCTAATGTTATGCAATGCCAGGTCCGTGGACAGGGGTTATTCCTCTGTCCTAGTTCTTTTGGACCTCTCAGCAGCTTTTGATACCGTGGACCACGGTATCATGCTGCGGCGCCTGGTGGGGTTGGGAGTGGGAGGTACCGTTATGCGGTGGTTCTCCTCCTTCCTCACCGACTGTATGCAGTCCGTATTGGCAGGGGGGCAGAGGTCGACCCCAAGGCCCCTAACTTGTGGGGTGCCACAAGGGTCAGTCCTCTCTCCCCTATTGTTCAATATTTATGTGAAGCCGCTGGGTGAGATCATCCGTGGTTTTGGGGTGGATTTCCATCAGTACGCTGATGATACTCAGCTGTACATTTCCACCCCAGACCACCCCAATGATGCCCTTGACGTGATGGCCCGGTGCCTGGAGGCCATACGGGTCTGGATGGGGAGAAACAGACTCAGGCTCAACCCTTCCAAGACCGAGTGGCTGTGGTTGCCGGCACCTCGGCATAGTCAGATGACTCCGTCGCTGACTATAGGGGGCGAAACTTTGGCCCCCTCGGAGAGGGTGCGCAGTCTGGGTGTCCTCCTGGATCCACGGCTGACACTAGAAGACCAGCTGACGGCCGTGGCCAGGGGGGCGTTCTACCGGGTACGCCTGGTTTACCAGTTGCGGCCTTTTCTGGACCGGGACGCCTTGCGCACAGTCACTCACGCTCTTGTCA